GGCAGCAGCAGCAGCAGCGGCAGTGGCGGCAGCGGCGGAGGGAGTAGTTGTAGGGGGAGGAGGAGTAGCAGCAAACAGCAGACAGAGAAAGGATCTAGTTCTATAAACAGTAACAGCAGCAGCAGCAGCAGCAGCAGCAGCAACAGCAGCAGCAGCAGCAGCAGCAGCAATAGCAGCAGCAGCAGCAGCACAGCTGCAGAGTCAAAGGATGCTAGAAATACAGACGGGAAGAGTGAAGCGGAGACGGCTATCAACGGCAGCAGCAGCAGCAACAGCAGCAACGGCGAAGACAGCAGCAGCAGCAGCAGCAGCAGCAGCAGCAGCAATGGAACCAGCAGGAGCAGCAGCAGCAGCAAGGAGCAGCAAGAAGAAGCAGCAGCAGATGCTGTCGGCTCCTTAGATAGTGATGATGCCGCCTGTCCCTGGACTCTCACCGTTGAGGCCCTTCGTAGTATGTTGCTGCTGCTGCTGCTGCTGCTGCTGTTGTTGTTGTTGTTGTTGTTGTTGCTGTTGCTGCGGCTATGCTGCTGCTGTTGTTGGTGGTGCTGTTGGTGCTGCTGCTGTTGTTGCTGCTGTTGGTGCTGCTGTTGTTGCTGCTACTGTTGCAGCTGTCTGCTTGTGCTGCTGCTGCTGCTGGTTCTGCAGCAGCAGCAGCAGCAGCAGCAGCAGCACAAGTAGGAGCAGCAGCAGCAACTCTGCTGCTGCCTCATATCGTTATCTTTCCTTATGAAGCATTTGTTTCTGCTGCAGCAGCAGTTTATTATCTTCTCTTTTTCACATTTTGTTTGCTGCTGCTGCTCTTGCTGCTGCTCTTGCTGCTGCTGCTGCTGCTGCTGCTGCTGCTGCTGCTGCTGCAGACCTTTGCGGCGGTTCTTTAGAGAAGATACAGCGGGTGCTGCCAGACGCAGACTGCGCCACGGCCCTTCTACAGCTCCTCGATAGCGGGTAAGCAGCAGCAGCAGCAGCAGCAGCAGCAACTGCAGCAGCAGCAGTAGTAGTAGTAGTAGAAGCAGCAGCAGCAGCAGCAGCAGCAGCAGCAGCAGTAGTAGTAGTAGTAGTAGCAGCAGCAGCAGCAGCAGTATCACTGCTAGCACTGGCATCAGCAGCATCAGCAGCATCAGCAGCCGCAGCATCAGCAGCCGCAGCAGCAGCAGCCGCCGCAGCAGCAGCAGCAGCATCAGCAGCAGCAGCAGCAGCAGCAGCAGCAGCAGCAGCAGCAGCAGCAGGAGTGTTTGTGTGTGTTTGCATGCAGCGCTCCGTATCTTTGTGTTGTGAATGAAGGGAGAAGGGCCCCCCTGGCTCTCCTCTCCACCTACGCCTTCCTCGTACACCTAGTCAGAGAGGTAAGCACCAGCAGCAGCAGCAGCAGCAGCAGCACCAACAGCAGCAGCAGCAGCAGCACCAACAGCAGCAGCATCAGCAGCAGCAGCAGTAGAAGTAGAAGCAACAGCAGTAACAGCACCCAGCAGCAGGACCAGCAATAGCAGCAGCAACAGCAGCAGCACCAGCAGCAGCAATAGCAGCAACAGCAGCAGCAACAGCAACAGCAACAGCAGCAGCAGCAGCAACAGCAGCAGCAGCAGCAGCAGCATTAGAGTTGCTGCGCATTGCATGCGTTTTTTGTTTTTTTTTTCAGATGCAAGGGACCCACCCAATCCTCTCTACAAACGTATTAGCTGCTAAAGTAAGCATCCTTTGCTGCTGCTGCTGCTGCTGCTGCTGCTGCTGCTGTTGCTGCTGTTGCTGCTGTTGCTTCTAGGCCTAGTTCTGATTGTGCATCAGATGGTATTCTGCTGCTGCTGCTGCTGCTGCTGCTGCTGTCGCTGCGTCCTTGCTGCTCATATCCTGTTCCTGCGTCTGCCCCTGCTGCTGCTGCTGCTGCTGCTCCTCCTGCTGCTGCTCCTCCTTCTCCTGCTGCTGCTGCTGCTCCTGCTGCTGCTGCTGCTGCTGCTGCTGCTGCTGCTGCTGCAGCTGGGCACGCACGAGAACCTGGTGACCTACTGCGTGGATGAGTCAGCGGAGGGCTTTCTTTCTGTTGCTGTCGATGCTGGCTTCTCTTCTCTTCCTCTTGTTAGTAAAGAAGGTAAATATATATACATATATATATATATATATATTTTATTTATTTTTTATTTTTTTTTTTTTTATTTTT